AATGATTGTTTCTTTTCTTTTAGCCATTGCGTATGTTAGACTTCTCATTCCTTGTATTAGAATGAATCTCCAAGTATCAGATGTAGGGATGGGGTTTAGTCTTTCAATTGCAAATACATGTAACTGTACACAAGAGAGATCATATACCAAAACCATTGGCCAAAACCATAGACAAAGACAAGATACTAAAATTGGCAAGAGAGAAACATCAGGTTACTTATAAAGGTTATCCCGTCAGGCTAACATCAGATCTCTCATCAGAAACAATGCAAGCAAGGGAAGAATGGGAAAATATATTCAAAGTATTAAAAACAGTTTCAGCCAAGAATACTATACTTGGTAAGATTATCCTTCATGTGGGAAGAAAAGATAAAAACATTTTCAGATAAACAAAACCTGAAAGAATTTATCAGCACCAGAGCAGCTCTTCAAGAAGTTCTGAAAGGAGCGCTTTACCAGGAAAACTAAAGACAGAAATAAGAGAACAAAAAGCAGCCAGAAAGTGACGAACTTAACGCTAGGGACTAGAAATATCAATAATAATGTTGAATGTTAACTGCCAGGATTTAAATGGAAAGATCGGACTAACACTGCAGAAACACTGCAGAAGAGAGATTAATTACATAAGACTAAACTGCTGAAATAGAATTTTATTACTTTTGAGCAAAACATTTCTGATTTTTTCTTATGTTTTGTTTTCCCAATTTAAGGATTTTGCTTTATTTTGAGCTGTTGATAGGTCGAGTAATTTGTTAAAAAGTGTTTTCCTCTTGTTTGTTTCTTTAAATGGAGACATAAACTTTTCTCCCTTCCTCACCCCTCTGGAATTGAAAAATATTTGGGAGTATTATTATTTGTGGCAGAATGGTTATTTGCATAAGTTCAATAATATCTGTTGCCTTGAATCAGAAATTGGAAATACGCATTATTGGACAGTGCTTTGACTGGAATGTCATATCTGAAGATTAAACCAAAAAACTATGGAACTAAGGTAGATCTCAAGTAAGCCAACAGAAGCTCTTGGAAAGATGGTCTGCCCCAATAAACAGTTCTGCCTGGCAGAGAGGATTAGACATGCTATATGAAAGAATTTGTACCATAAAATAACCTGGACTTTTCCAGCCCAGCATTATAATCAGTAGAGATTGCAAAAGAGCAGCCACAACCAGAGGATTGCCTTCAGGAAGAGTTTGAAGGAAGAAAAAGAGACTGATCTTTGCTAGCAGATGGTATATCACAGAATACTTGGTAGGCAGGGCTGAATTAAGAAGGCTTATGTGGGGAACCAGCAGTTAGTGTAATGGCTATGTCGCTGGACTCCCACGTAGTTGACCGCGGTTCGTGTCCCGGACCCGGTGGCTTAAAACTCACGCCGGGCGCGTGTGCGTGCGTGCCCAAGATCCCGAGAGGAGAATGGAGGAGAAGGGATTGCGGCGTGACCATCCCCCCTGGGGGGTGATTTCTTGCTTTCTGTCTCTATGTCTCTCTCTGTCTGTCTGGTGAGCGCACGCACCCTATAGCAAAAAACCTCTCCAAAAAAAAAAAAAAAAAAAGAAGGCTTATGTGTGTTTGCTTTGAAACAGTTTGAGTAGTTATGTAAATATTTTCTCAAAAACATTTAAAAACATACTATCTCTATTATATAGTCATAAACAAAATTATAACAAATATTTCAAGCATTATCTTTAAAATTAAATTTTTTTTGAAATTTTGAAAGTTGTTTATTAACTGTCAAGAACTATGGAGTATGAGCAAAATTTTTTGGTATGTAAAATAAATGTTTGTGAGAAAATATAGAAATAAATAAATAAATGTTTTTTTTTTTTTTTTTTTTTTTTTTTTTAAAAAGAAACATCCTAAGGAGTGGAAACCAGGTTCACAGAGCTAAGGAACAAAAACTCCGTACTTTGAGTTACCTTCCAGAGCCAGGAGGGGGCAGCAGTGTGGAAGGCAGCAATCAGAAGAGCCCACAGGTCCTGTTTACAAAAAGGTCAAAGATGTTATTGCCCTAAGCCATGGGTGGGCTCCAGTTTGGCAGCTGCTTGGTCTCACTTACTCTGGGGGAGATGTGGGAGTGGGAAAAAGGTGGTGTCGAGAATGATTATACTTGGTTCAGCTGTACCTCAGTTCTTGGGATGTCCTTGTCTGTGTAGACAAGCAGAAAGGACTTTCTGGGCTCTTTGTCCCCAGGGAACAGTCCTCCTGCAGGCATTCTAGGGCTTGGTTTTTAGCATCTTTCATTGCCTCACTATAAGCCCACCAGCTCTTTCAGGTGCTTGAAATGAAGTTACTATTAGCATCAACACATACCTCCTGCAGCTCTGATCTTTAGGAGCTAATGAAACTCATGTAGTTTAGTTAAATAGTCATTGAACATCTACCAGAGGACATCCTCTGTGTGTACACGCGTATGCATGTGTGTGTGTGTATGTGTGTGTGTGCATGTTGGAAGTAAACAGTAGGATGTGAAGATGCAGAGTGCTTTGTGTGGCTGGTGGAAGAAGAATTGGGAAATACATGGAATGTGATTGGATTCAAACTTCCATAGTCATTGAATGTGATTAGTTCTTAAGGAAGGTCCTGCTGGTCCTGCTGGTTAAGAATCCAAGGAAGAAATCTACACAAGAAACCCAGGAATGGCCTGGTAGGAGTAGTCTGGTAGCAGTGGTACAAGTGGTAGGGCACCACTGCATGATACTGGAGCCACATGGAAGGACTGGGTTCAGATCCTAGACAGAGCTAAACATGCTGGGCATGACCTTGCAATCCTAGCTAACTGGTAGGCTGGAGTGAGAGGATCATGGCATGACAAGACCCTGTCAAAAATGCCTTTCTATATCTCTCTCTGAAAAAAAAAAGAGAGAAATAAAAGGAAGGAAGGAACCCAGCAGTCATCCTCTGCTCTACCTCCTCCTCACCTTCCATGTCTAATACATCACCCAGCATGCCATTTCAACTGGGAGAGAAGCCCCTGTCAGATCAGTCTGATGGCCCATGAAACACATATGTGTCCTCAACAACCTAACAGACCCTTCTCTAAATAATCTCATTGTCTCTTAATCTCTTTATCTTCAGATTTATCACACTAGACACTTTCTGGGTGGTGATGTTAATAGAAATGCTAAATTGGTGCTAATCAATAATTGTTAAATCAAAGTGCAGAACTCAATTTTATAGTAAAATCACAGACATATGTAATACTCATAAGTAAGCTGAAGTCCAAGGAGAATTTCTTTAACTTTTTTAAACCTGTGTTACAATGTAGTCTTTTTTTTTTTTTGAGTGAGATTTTTTTTTTTTTTTTTTTTGCTGTAGGTCACGTGCATTGGCCAGAGGAGCAGAGGCAGAGACAGAACACAAGAAATCACCTCCAGAGGGGATAATCATGCCATAATTTCTTCTCCTCCATTCTCCTCTCAGGATTCTGGGCATGCCTGCACACATGCCTAGTGTGAGTTTAAGCTACCGGGTCCAGGACTTGAACCACAGTCAACTATGTGGGAGTCCAGTGACATAACCATTATGCCATCTTCTGGTCCAATAGTATATTATTTTACTGAAAGACTTTGAAGGTCTGGTCCCATGTAATCACTAGACCAGTGGTTCTTAAAGTGTGGTGGGTAGACTTAGGAGGTTCCCGATATGCATTCAATGGTGTCAATGACACCAAAACCATTGTTATGATAATATTAAGGGTTGTTTGTTTTTGTTTTACTTTTTTACTCACAGTCTTTCCTGAATCGATAGCAGAATTTTCTAGAGTACATGATGTACTACTATGATACCATCACTCTGAGAGCTAGAATATCTGCCTGAATAAATTGTATCCAAAATACTCTAGCTTTAATTTTATAATCCAAGAAATCTTAATAGACATAACCCACATGAACAAAACACCTTTGGGGCTCCTTGTTACTTTAAGAGTGTAAATCACTTCCAAAGCCAAATAGTTTGAGATCTGCTGTGGTGAAACTCTCTCTAGGGTCTATCCCCACAAGTTGGACTCCATGCAGGGTCAGGATCACGATTCTGGCCCCTGAAGCTGACTCCCACACGCCTCTGTTGACATTGCAGAACTTATCTCATGCTCAGCCCAGTTCACAGTCCTGACACTGATGGCCAACACTTTCTACCTCCCTGAATGGTGAGTCCTTATCAGAAAGGGATATGCACTTTGTGTAGAGGTAGACCTGGGAGGGATTGAGAATGGGTAAGCAGAGGAGTAGGAGACTGTAGATGAGGCAGGGATCTCTTGTTATGGTCTCTTTCCTGATTTCCTCCAGGGTCCGTTCAAGGATTTCTCAGTCTCAACATTTTTGTCTCTATGTGACTTTCTTTGATTCCTAGCAGAACAGCAAAGGCACACCCAATCAGAATAAATATATTTATGTACTTATTTATTGGGAATTAGAGAGGCAGAAGCATTATAAATCTTGGATTAGGTTCAAAGTCCAGGGGAGAGTGAACTTTATTAGGGTTTGTTGAGATTATTAGGGAAGAAATACAAGCAGAAGAACCCACTGCTTTCACCAGAGTAGAGTGGTGCAGTAGAAGATTTTGGCGAATTTTCCATTAATTTGAAGTTTTCTTGTGTTAAATTTATAACTATGTTTGCTGCTTAAAAATGTTGCAAATCTCACAGAGGCAGATTTAGGCAAGTTCTGTGTTCTTGTAGTCATCTCGTATAACCAACAGGGGGCAGCATGGTAGAGGAGGCAGCTGCTGGGAACACTAGTTAAGTTTGGACCTTGGGTGGAAGATTGGAGAACATGCTGATTTTGTCTAAACTGCTGTCTCCTGGGTGAGTCGCTGGGTGGAGTCGTCAATTCGGGTAGGAAAATCCATCAGACTACAATATCTTTCTTCTTGAGTGTGAAGACACGTAACTTCTTTCAGGCTGTGTGGTGTTTCCTGTTAGCCATAGAGGGATGGAGGTGGGCAAGGGTGCAGCATCTTCAATTGCAGGCCAGGAAGGGTGGCTTCTGAGGCTTCTTAAGGATTCACTTCTGCTTTGGTGGGCACTCCTGCTGGCATGGGGGATGCTGCACAGGTGGGCAGTTCTGTTGACTGGGGCGTGGGGGGCAGGGTTCTGGGATCTTGGGAGGGCAGGGCTCAGGAACCTGGGGAGGGGACTGGCACTTCTGCTGTTTGGAGGGTGGGGGACAAGGTGTAGGCACCAGGACCTGGGGAGGAGGTTGAGGGGGGACTTTACACTGTTGCTGCTGCTGATAGGACATTTTGCCTAGGTTGAAGATGAACTGAAAAAAAGAAAGCACTTAGAATGAGACATCAGTGACAAAATTATTTACAAAACTATCACAAGGGAGAATGCCCTCAGTCACCACCCCTTCTTTAATACTGATGATATGTTCCTACGGCACTCACTCCTGAGACCACTCACCCTACAGGAGCCTCCGTGGACTTTACACCTGCCAGAAAAGTGTGTTTCCATTGGGACTGGCCCACAGATAGCCAGAGTCTGCTCCATTTGCCCCTCCTAGGAGGCTGGTGCCTGGACTGTGCTCTGTTCTTTAAAGGGAACATTTTTATTCTGCATAGGGCTAGGGGGAAGAGAAGAGTGAGCCTTGCTATAAAAGGTAAAGTGACTTCGGAATAGTTTGAAGAAACTAAACTTGGTGTCAACAGGGTTAAATGTATTCCCACTTGCTGATGTAGATAGTCTAATCTGGAGACGGACTATAATTTCGCTGCTGTGAAACACTTCTTTTCTTTGTGATTGTGCTTTTTATTCCTGACTAACACATTTTTTTCCTTACTCGGTCATTTTTGGCAACTTCCCTAAATCTTTAGTACCATCTGTACTGTTGTACAACTTGATCACTGCTTCTTTAAGGAGAATTAGTGACCCTGGTCATGGACCATAATTTTATTTTATATTTTTTAATGCCAGAAAGTGTGGGAGAGAGAGAGAGAGAGAGAGAGAGAGAGAGAGAGAGAGAGAGAGAGAGAGAGAGATAG